TCTCTCTCTCTCTCTCTCTCTCTCTCTCTCTCTCTCTCTCTCAAGCTCTGGAGGACAATTGTGATTTAAGAGCTTCTCTTGGCTCCTTTTGATGCATGCTCTTGCATACGTCCTGCCTCTGTATTATTTAGGTTCCCACCCTAACATTTCCTGCAGTGGTTTAAAATAGCCCAAGTATTGTGGATCCATGCTTCCCTGTTAAAATGAGAGACCTTCACAGTCAACTGTTAACTGGAAAGATTCTGAAAGGAAGGGGGGGTGGGTATAGGTGAGGTGGGGAACCCTACAAAAATGATGCCACTTTTCTCTTAAATTAGAGCTATGAGACTGAACTGACAGCCATTTTATATATGTTTATGGATTGGTTTGCCCAAGTATTGTGGATCCATGCTTCCCTGTTAAAATGAGAGACCTTCACAGTCAACTGTTAACTGGAAAGATTCTGAAAGGAAGGGGGGGTGGGTATAGGTGAGGTGGGGAACCCTACAAAAATGATGCCACTTTTCTCTTAAATTAGAGCTATGAGACTGAACTGACAGCCATTTTATATATGTTTATGGATTGGTTTTGAAACTGCAAAGGGGGGGGGGGTGAGCAGAGAGCACCAAAATGGGACTTTAGCTGCCCTCATCTTGTAAAGAGCAGAGCATTGGTTGCATGCTCATTAGAAAATGAAATGAGCCTTCAGATCAAATGGAACATCCAATTTTAATAATGTCTGAAGAATGTGACTGTTCCTCTGGGACAGGGAGGGGGTACCATTCGGGTATCCCCTCCTGGATTTTAGGGAGAGAGTATTAAGAAAGAGGGAACTTCTGATCAATCCCTTAATATTTTTTTTTGTGTGATGTTCTGTTATTTCCTTGTTTCCTCTCTCCCTTGCAGGAGGTAAAATGCACACTTGCTGCCCCCCAGTAACTTTGGAACAGGACCTTCACAGAAAAATGCATAGCTGGATGCTGCAGACTCTAGCCTTTGCTGTAACATCTCTCGTCCTTTCCTGTGCAGAAACCATCGATTATTATGGGGAAATCTGTGACAATGCATGTCCTTGTGAGGAAAAGGATGGCATTTTAACTGTGAGCTGTGAAAACCGGGGAATCATCAGTCTCTCTGAAATTAGCCCTCCCCAGTTCCCAATCTATCACCTCTTGTTGTCTGGAAACCTTTTGAACCGACTCTATCCCAATGAGTTTGTCAATTACACTGGGGCTTCAATTTTACATCTGGGTAGCAATGTTATCCAAGACATTGAGACTGGAGCTTTCCATGGGCTGCGAGGTTTGAGGAGACTGCATCTGAACAATAATAAACTGGAACTTCTTCGAGATGATACCTTCCTGGGCTTGGAGAACCTAGAATACCTACAGGTCGATTACAATTACATCAGTGTCATTGAACCCAACGCTTTTGGGAAACTGCATTTGTTGCAGGTGCTTATCCTCAATGACAATCTCTTGTCAGGTTTACCCAACAATCTTTTCCGTTTTGTGCCCTTAACGCACCTGGACCTGCGGGGGAACCGGCTCAAACTTCTGCCCTATGTGGGGCTGTTACAACACATGGATAAAGTTGTGGAATTACAGCTGGAGGAAAACCCTTGGAATTGCTCCTGTGAACTAATCTCTCTCAAGGATTGGTTGGACAGCATCTCTTACTCAGCCCTTGTGGGCGATGTGGTTTGTGAGACCCCCTTCCGTTTACACGGCAGGGACTTGGACGAGGTATCCAAGCAGGAACTTTGTCCAAGGAAACTTATTTCTGACTACGAGATGAGGCCACAAACTCCTTTGAGCACCACGGGGTATTTACACACCACCCCAGCCTCGGTAAATTCCGTGGCCACTTCTTCCTCTGCTGTTTACAAACCCCCCTTGAAGCCTCCTAAGGGGACCCGCCAGCCCAACAAACCAAGAGTACGCCCCACCTCTCGGCAGCCCTCTAAAGACTTGGGTTACAGTAACTACGGCCCCAGCATAGCCTACCAGACCAAATCCCCGGTGCCTTTGGAGTGTCCCACCGCGTGCACTTGCAATCTGCAGATCTCAGATCTAGGCCTCAATGTAAACTGCCAGGAGCGCAAGATCGAGAGCATCGCGGAGCTGCAACCCAAGCCCTACAATCCCAAGAAAATGTATCTAACGGAGAACTACATCGCAGTTGTGCGCAGAACAGACTTCCTGGAGGCCACCGGACTGGACCTCCTGCACCTGGGTAACAACCGTATCTCTATGATCCAGGACCGAGCCTTTGCGGATCTCAGCAACCTCAGACGCCTCTACCTGAATGGCAACAGGATTGAGAGGCTGAGCCCAGAGTTATTCTACGGCCTACAAAGCCTACAGTATCTCTTCCTCCAGTACAATCTCATCCGGGAGATCCAGTCTGGTACTTTCGATCCAGTCCCAAACCTCCAGCTGCTATTCTTGAATAACAACCAATTGCAGGCCATGCCCTCAGGCGTCTTCGCTGGCCTGACTCTTCTCAGGCTGAATTTAAGAAGTAACCACTTCGCTTCCTTGCCGGTGAGTGGTGTTTTGGATCAGCTGACTTCACTCATCCAAATAGACCTACATGACAACCCTTGGGATTGTACCTGCGAGGTGGTGGGTATGAAACTCTGGGTGGAGCAGCTCAAAGTGGGGGTGTTAGTGGACGAGGTGATCTGTAAGGCGCCCAAGAAATTCGCGGAAACTGACATGCGCTCCATCAAGTCAGAACTGCTGTGCCCAGATTATTCTGATGTAGTAGTTTCTACGCCCACGCCTTCCTCCATCCAAGTACCCTCGAGGACCAGCGCGGTGACACCTACTGTGCGATTGAACAGCACTGGTGGCCCCGCAGGCTTGGGCTCAGGCACAGGGGCATCCTCGGTGCCCTTGTCGGTGTTGATTCTCAGTCTGTTGCTGGTTTTCATCATGTCGGTCTTCGTGGCCGCTGGCCTCTTTGTGCTGGTCATGAAACGTAGGAAGAAGAACCAGAGCGATCACACCAGTACCAACAATTCAGACGTGAGCTCCTTCAATATGCAGTACAGCGTGTATGGTGGTGGAGGTGGCGGCAGCGCGGGCGGCCACCCTCACGCGCACGTGCACCACCGTGGACCTGCTCTGCCCAAGGTGAAAACGCCTGCGGGACACGTGTACGAATACATCCCCCACCCACTGGGCCACATGTGCAAAAATCCCATCTATCGCTCAAGGGAGGGCAACTCCGTGGAGGATTACAAAGACCTGCACGAGCTCAAGGTCACCTACAGTGGCAACCACCACTTGCAGCAACAGCAGCCTCCACCGCCGCCGGTGCAGCCCCAGCAGCAGCCCCCGCCGCAGTTGCAGCTGCAGCCCGGGGAGGAGGAGAGGCGGGAAAGCCACCACTTACGGAGCCCCGCCTACAGCGTCAGCACCATCGAGCCCCGGGAGGACCTACTGTCACCTGTGCAGGATGCTGATCGCTTTTACCGGGGCATTTTAGAGCCAGACAAACACTGCTCCAGCACCCCTGCCGGCAACAGCCTACCGGAATACCCCAAATTCCCCTGCAGTCCGGCTGCCTACACTTTCTCCCCAAACTATGACCTGAGACGCCCCCATCAGTATTTGCACCCGGGGGCTGGGGAGAGCAGGCTACGGGAACCGGTGCTCTACAGCCCTCCGAGCGCTGTCTTTGTAGAACCGAACAGGAACGAGTACCTGGAGTTAAAAGCAAAACTAAATGTTGAGCCGGACTACCTCGAAGTGCTGGAAAAACAGACCACATTTAGTCAATTCTAAAAAACAAAGAAACTCCGCTGGAGCTTTTGCGTTTCAAACAAGCAAGCAAGCAAGCAGACACAGGTGGTGAACACGTTTGATTAATTGTGTCCTTTCCATGTTTAGGGTGAAGTGCCTTGGCACGGGATTCTCTGCCTCGGAGGAGGATAACTGAAAGGGTGTGCAATTTCCTTTTAATTTTACACGCGGAAAGCGTTTGTGTAAACTGGGCACATCATTTTTTTCTTGTCTGTTGGGGAGGAGAGGAGAAGGGTTCTGTGGGGGGCGATTTGCAGCGAGGGTGACTTTTACAGGTGCAGACATTTTTGTAGTGGTTGGGAGTGCTAGGAAGGGTGGGAGATGGAAGCGGCAAGCAGCATAGATTCTACTCCTTTTTTGTTCCCCCTCCTATGTCCCCCTCTCCCACTTCAGGCCATGGTAGGTCTAAATGGTTTTGGTGGAGGGATTAGCACGCCCCAACTTTAACAGGAAGTTTGTTCTCCCTTCCAGTCCCTCCTCTCCCACCTTCCTTCTTATTCCTTTCCTTTGTTTTTAAAGGATGTGTTTGTATGCATTCTGGACATTTGAATTTAAAAAAAAAAAATCGTGTGATCCAAAAACGGAGCACTGTAGATGTGGACAGATCATTAAAATTACAGAGCTATATGATCCATAATTGATTAGTCAAAATAACTTATTGATGAAATATACAAATATTTTATTGTAGCACCTATTTTTATATGCACATTTAGCGTTCCTCTTTCCTTCACTATTTAGCCCATGATTTTTGCAGAGGTGTCACATTGTATTAGGAGCTGCATTTCCGAACCTGAAATGATAGCAGAAAGGCCTTTTAAATCTGTCAAAATGTAGGCACTTAATGGCAAAAATCTTTAAAAGTCCATGCAACCCATCCACTTGGATTTGTAATTGAAAATAAAAAAATAATAATAAAAAGCTGATCATAGCCCATTGTATGAAAGGGGAAAATGGGGGCATTAATTTGGTCAATTGAGAAATATATGAAAGTTTTGGTTACATCAGAGAAGGCTGAAAAGTATTTTTATTGGTGATCCCAAATGATGTCTCCATTTGACTACTATTGTAGCCGATTTTTGATTGTGTAACCATACCTAGTTGCATTCCTACAGATCCTTGTGCACTTGCACCTCAGAAGACCAAAAGATGGACTATACAATCTCTATACAATGTCTTTATCCCTCTGGGCAGATGATAATGACAAACAGGATTTCTGTAAGGTGGGGCTACTGTTGTTACAGTCTCATATGTATCCCAGCACATGTAATTTTTTAAATAGTTTCTGAATAAACACTTGATAACTATGTCAAATTCCAGGGATTTAAGTAATGATTACTTGAGGGGCAAAACATAGCTATCTAAGGTTGGTGAAATCTCTCTGATTAACAATTTAGGAATTATAGCTACATTTTATTCCTAATAGGAAAAGATTTACCTCCAATTATAAAAATTTAAGATATGAACATACATCAGAACATATACATAAAATGTATGCCTGTGTTGGTTCAGAGAAGTAAGTTTTTCGGAATGTGTCAATTAAGTTGTTTATTAATGATATTTTGATTGCATATGTTTCTTCACTGAAATGTACATCTAATACATGGATCACGGTAAGTAATGTGTTGCATATTGATTTTTCTTTCTGAATAATATATTTTGCCGTTTCCATGTTATTTATTTAGCTTATGGCTATTTGTATTTCAATTTGTGTGAAACTGTTTGAAAACTATGTTGAATACCTTATCTAAAGTTGATCAATGTCATAAATGGTCAGAATGTTTGTGGGTCTAAGCTGTTTACCTCTGAGTAAGGCTTGCCAGAGAATTTAGATGACTATTTGGCAGTAGAAAATATTGAATCCTTCTGAAACTCAAAGAAAGAACTGTGTGCTTCCTTTCTGCTAGTGGTTCTCCCATTGTCTCACCTAGGTGTGCTTGCTAGCAAGGGCTGTTCATGAACTTCCTGTTTAAGGAACACTTGCCATGGCATTCTGCCACAAAGAGGCAGCATCCACCCATCAGTAAATTCACAGTAACTACTTGAATTTAGATTGAAGCAGTGGTAACAGTTTCCCTGAAGTATTATAAAAGTAAGAAAGTTGTAATGTTAAGTTGACCAAGTGCAGTAAATTATCCACATTCTTTAAATTTTATCTTTGTTTTTTTCCCAAAGAGGAAAAAATTAAACTTAGTTGTGCCATGATATTGTCATAAAAATATTTTCCAATTCTTCATCTACCTCCTTTCTATTCAATCCAGGATTAGAAATTAAAAAAAATAAATAATGGCAATTGATTTCATATTGGGGTTGTTGCTAATTTTTCTTTATAGTATATTATTTTTTCTTTAAAAAATGGCATTATGACTTCCTCAGTAATATTACTGTTTCACAAATTATAAACTACTGATTCCCTGTGGATCTAAGTAACTAAGTTTTATATCTTAAAGGGTTCATAAAACAAGGTAAGACTCATGCACAATCAAAGCATATTGCTAAAGGATACAAGCAATTTCCAAAGCAAATCCATTGACATATTTTTCAAAGATTTAAAAATGTTTAGCTTCAAATCAACGCTGATGCCTGTGATCTTACCTGATAGTCTCTATAGGTAACTTCTTTCTATATTTATACTTCCTTAGGGGTTCAGCATATTTTTTTTTGAATCTGGAAAGTAACAGTTGTACTGTTTATTAACAAAGGTCACTTTAAAATATTTAACATTTCCCTGTATTATTAGGAGGATTAAAAGTAAACTCATCCTGGCTCTTATAAATTTTGAAAAAAAATATTTTGTCAAAATTGTGAGACTTTGTAGGATGAAAATTAAACTCATTTTCTTCTTATACATGTTTTCCTAACTAATACATTATCATATACAGAGGAACCTGAAATATGTACTTGTACATATTTTACTTTTGATATTTTAGTCTTTTAACTAGGTAAATTATCAGACCAGACATACTAATGGTATATGATTAAATTTTGAAGCTCTACAAATTCTCCATACAGTTTTGGAAAACAACATGTAATGTTTCAGGCATCAATTAAATTCAGATGCAAACTAGGCTTGCTCATTGTGATAGTTCTGTTTAAAATGTTGCATAATCTCATGTAAAGATACTCTCAAATAGATTAAATGTTTTTATCTCTCTGATTACATTATAAATACTGAAATCTGAGATAAATATATTCTGCAATTTGTAAACCTGCATAAAAGTTATTTACTCTGAATTTATTGATTTATGTTTTCATTTAAATACTAACATCAATATCATACTCAGAACACATATTTTCTTTTTGCCAAATTATCATCTTCACAAAATGTACAGTGAAACATTCTGAATGTCCTTCAAATAGCCTGTCACCATCATCTGTTCCAGCAGCAACAGAAAAATGTCAAATCTGGAGATAGAGAACATCTACAGATAGTGTAGAAATGATTATCTAATATAAGATTGCAATTTCTCACCTTGCATATTAAGAATATTCCTACAACTAAGATGGTTTTTTGAAAATGATTAAAATTATTATATATTATTTTCTTACCTCAATAGCTGATTTCTTATTTTCTTTTCATTTTTTTCTGTCTCTTCTCTTATCTTTTTTTAAAATATATTTTTCAGTAGGACAAATCTAAAGGCTGTGAATGAAAATAATTTACTTTTCTGTTTGAAATGCCCAAAACTGGCTATTTCATTTCAAGATCCCAGTTGATCATTCACCCAAATTGCATAACTGCAAATTAATGAAGACACAACACAAATATATGTTGAACACAGTTAGAAATATGTTCTTGTTGAACTTTCCAGATAAATCCAAATTAAGTTATATTTTTGTTGTTAAAGAACGTTTGGTTTAACTATTTTTTAACAATAAATTTTGAAGTGGGGAAGAAAAGCTAGAGATAGTGAAGGAATATATTTAAATATTGGTCTTATTCAATTAACTATTTAAATTTTAAATGAGGCAGAAACTTCTCAAATTGTCCACCCTTTTGTAAATGCAAATATATGACAATAATTAAAATAGTT